TTTTAACTTCAGCTGTGCCTGTCCTTACTGTGTGTGTGTCTTCTAGGGAAAATCCTATCGTGACCAACAGTTGCTGGTTCTCAAGAAGCACCTAGAACATAATTACAGGAGCAGGGATCGAAAATGGATCGTTTTGTTTCCTGAAGGGGGCTTCCTCCGGAAGAGGAGAGAAACAAGCCAGGCATTTGCCCAGAAGAATAACTTGCCGTTTCTTACACATGTCACTTTGCCAAGGTTTGGGGCAACAAGCATCATCCTGAATGCACTTGTAGCACGGCAGGAAAACGGAAGCCCAGCAGGAGGAGATGCTAAAGGCTTAGGTAGGAGCCTTAGAATTTCTTGTCTTGTTTTAACGAAGTGCTTTCTAGAGTTCCACTGCTTTTTTTGTTTTTTTTTTTAGGTTTTTGTTTGCTTGTTTGGGTTGGGGTTTTTGAGACAGGGCCTCTTTATTTAGTCTTGAGCTGTCCTGAAACTACGTAGTACACTAGGCTGGTCTCAAACACAGAGATCCACCTGCCTCTGCCTTTTGCGTGCTAGGATTAAAGTCCTGCGCCACTATGCCTGACCCAATTCTTAGTTTAAATAACTTTGACAATTAGAATTAAGTCGGGAGAGGATGAGGTTATTATCTCTTTGTCTCTTTAGCTGGTGCTCACATTAATGCACTAAAATAACTGCAGCTGCATAGTCAGAGATGTCCGCCTGCCTGTGCTGTTACTCAGGACGACTTCTACCACTAATGATGCAAGTTACTTTTTACTTACTAAATCTAGAAGGTTTTGTTTGCTTTAATAGGCAACAAAGTTAATGTAACTTTGACCCTTAAGGTATTAGTAAACAACTTAGTCATCCTACTACATATTCATCAAAAGGAAACAACCTAAGTCAGGTGTGTTGACTCACGTCAGTAACTCCACCACTGGTGAATCTGAGGAGAAGGAAGATTGCCTTCAGTTCAAGAACAACCTAGGCTACAGTAAATTCTAGGTCAGCCTAGGCTACAAAATGAGGTTTTGTGTCCAAAAGCAATAATCATGTCCAAATATAAGTAATGCAAATTTGTCACAGGCTTATATATAATAAACCAGCCAGAGGGAGAATGAGTAAGCAAATTCCCACTTGTCTGTGTAACACAGCCTCGCAGCTGCTGCATATGGAGAGTTTGGGTGCCTGGCAAAGTACTTATGCAGGGTGTGTGTGTGGGAGGGACAGCATACAAGTCTCGTGAAAATAATGTGAGCGTCAGACAGCAGGAAATGAGGGACAGGAAAGACACCAGCATGTTAGCAGAGATTGTCCCATGAGCTGTAACAGTGTGGCTCATTTTCCAGAGTTCTAAGGTCATGAACACATACTGTTTTAATAACCAAGAAAGAGTAAGCAATGCTCAGTGATGCAGCTCCCTGGGTCCGCAATCTCTGAAGTCTCACAGAGCTGTGCCTGCAATAGCAAGAGTGTCTTCATCCAAGTCACTTCTACAAAAGCATTCAATAAGCAGCTCAAAGAGACTCACAAGGCCAGTTTCTTTAATAGCATTTTAAAATTCTTTTAGTATTATTTAAATAAGTGTTGGAATGAGTGGCTCTCAGAAATGTTTCAGATTCTGCACAGAGCAGGTGTAGAAATAGCGCCCAGGACATTGCACTGCATTTTCCCTTTCACTGGCTTTTTCCAAGCAGCTACTTGGCAGTCAGCTTTCTTAATCTTTCATCATCTATTAAAAAGGCAAATTGAAAGAGTCTCTTAATAGAAAGGAAAGCTCAGAGTAGCTCCCCTGCTGGAGAGACATTGTGGCAGTGTCTTGCAGGCCAAAGCTGGAGGCAAAGGTCTCCAAACATAATCAGTCCCATTAGAAAGACTGCTGTTTGCACGGTTCGCCCAGGCCATTCCCAGGGTAGGTTAGATCTCAAAGAAAGGACCATGTGTTAACAGTTGCCTAGGAATGAGAAAAGAGACTTTTCTTTCAGATAGCCACGATTTCTATTTATAAGAAAGGAGTTTATTGGGGCTGGAGAGATGGCTCAGAGGTTAAGAGCACTGATTGCTCTTCCAGAGGACCCGGGTTCAATTCCCAGCACCCACATGGCAGCTCACAGCTGTCTGAAGATCCAGTTGCAGGGGATCTGACACCTTCACACCATTGCACATAAAATAAAGTTAAATAAACCATAAAAATATTTAAAAAAAAAAGAAAGGAGTTTATTATTTATCCATAGTTAATATATTTAAATTTTAAGTCATCAGAATACCTGAAAAGTATTTTACTGGTTTTTATTTTTTGCTATTTGGCATTTTCCACTGTTTTCTTTGGTGTTCACATTCATTAGTATTTTATCCTCTGTGGACGTAAACCCTACCTTTGTGTTTAGTGTGTGTACCAGGTACATGTCAGAATTCTTTTCTGCCTGATGGCCTTTAAAAGTATCAGGATCTTCTGCTTGTTTATTATGAGTTGTATGATAACTCACCCTGAACTGAACTCTCCTGAGCTGTTTACACTTCCTTCCATCATGAAAATTTCTAAACATAAAGTTCAGAGAATTTGTAATGACTGTGGATGAGCTGCCAACTGTGCTCTGTTTCACCATGTTTGCTGTCTGTCCCCTCTACCCTTCTCTCGGCCCATTAGTTCATTTGTTTTGATTATTCTATGCTTTGGATTGGTTTGATTTGGTTTGATTTTCAAGGCAAAGTTACATAACCCAGCTGACCTTGGGCCACCCACCTCCTGTCCCGCCACAGTCTCCCAAGTGCTGGGGTTACCGGCATGTGTCACCATGCTCAGAGAAAAATTGTTCCTCCTTACAAATGATCCCCATTCAGAATGTTGCCCTAAAATCTCTTAAGGTATTTAAAACTGGTTTTAATTCCTAAGGAGGAAAATTAATATATTTTTGACTCCTAATACAATTTAGATTTAAGCTGGAAGGTGGTCTAGAGCCTTCACCCATAGAACAGGTAACTATACTTTAAAACATTGAAAGCCAGTGTTCTCTGGGAGGGAGTTCCTCCATTCTCGCTCACTCTTATATTCATGGATGAGAACAAAATAGTGTGTGAAGGACCGGTCTAAACAGCACTTTCCTATCTCCTCCCCAACTGTGGCTATTCATCGTTCCTTCTGAAGTGCTTTGTTTTTATGTAAGGCCTGCTAAAATAAGAACAGTAGCTAATAATAATGTGTGTAGAAACACGTTTAATTTTATTTCCATTTCCTGTATTTGTTAATGTTCCCTAAGTATTACCGTTATAAATCATGACTTTTGTATACATTTATGGATTTGACTTTGAAGTCTGCTTTTCATTTTTATGATGTATGCTTTACCTTCTGACCTTCTGTAGGCTGTTTGTGTAGGAGTGATAATATATAATGAAACCTTGCTAGTGCATAATTTACTTAAGATTTGAACGAGGCATGTTTAATAAATAATAGTGCTCTATTATTTGTTTTGAAGTCATCTGCTCTATAGTAAGAGTGCCTTAATTGTGTACTAAGTGCACTGGGGAACAGCAGGAGCAAAGTTCACCTCTTACCTCAAACCAGCTGCTCAGTGAGTTCTGTTCTGCAGGTCCAGGAAAGCTTGCCCAACTCAAGTCACTTTTTCTTTATCTTCAGAATGCAAATCAAGAGGCCTCCAGTGGATAATAGATGCAACCATAGCTTATCCCAATGCTGAGCCAATAGATATTCAGACCTGGATCCTTGGATACAGGAAGCCAACAGTCACTCATGTTCACTACAGGTCAGTACTGTGACTCAGCGTGTCTAACAGAACTTCCTCTGGGGACTTTGGGTGTTTTATACTTAGCCAGATAGTGGAAATAGTGACATTTATATTTATTATAAGAAATAAAATTTAATTATATAAAAATTAAAGAAAGAAAATTATAAGAAAGAAAAAAGTCATTCTTGTGCTGAATCTTTCGTATAAAAATTCATTTGAAGTAGTTATTTTCACTGATGATAAATATTTGTAAAACCCGTGTCCCATGACACTGTGCTTACTGAGTTGCCTGACTCTTGAGTGACAGTACTGTAAAGAGTCAACATCGAGGATAAATGGACTCATGGGACTAAATAGACATATATTAATAGAAACAAAATTTTTGCAAAACCACTAATCTTCACTGTATTTCTGAATATTCTTGAAAACTCAGGTATATTGCATCTATAAATTTTTTAAATTTGTGTGTGTGTGTGTGTGTGTGCGCGCACGCGTGCATATGAGTGCAGGTGCTGCAAAAGGTCAGAGGTGTATCTGGCAGTGGCTGTGAGCTGCTCAGTATGGGTGCTGACTATGAAACCCAGATCCCCTGCAAGAGTAGCAAGTCTCCTAACCCCTGAGCCATCTCTCCAGCCGCTACATTTAAATTTTTAATCTGATTATGCTGATGTCTATTGCATAAATAACAGCAAAAACATTTAGTGGATATCTTGTGCTAACTTCTTTTATATAAAACTTTTGAGGGAGTTTTGTGTAAATATATGAAGGCATTTGCCTGGCATTAATGGTTCATGTGTGGATTTGGCCACTTTATAAGCTATTTAACTTTACTCTGCTTGTTTGAGGCCACAACACACGTCAGCAGACTCGAGGAGCACAGCTATCACAAAGGGCCTTAGAACGAGAGGAAATTGCTCAAATTCTGTAACATCAGCAGCGAATGTGTGTGCACATGTATGTACTTTAAATGATGTCATCAGCAGCGGATGTGTGTGCAAATGTATGTACTTTAGATGATGTCATCAGCAGTGGATGTGTCTGCACATGTATGTGCTTTAGATGATGTCATCAGCAGTGGATGTGTCTGCACATGTATGTGCTTTAGATGATGTCATCAGCAGTGGATGTGTGTGCCCGTGTATGTGCTTTAAATTATTGCCTCAGCATTCTTTAAATACAGATGGGAGATTTTGAAACTTAAATTTTGCAACTAAAATGTTACAACTTTTAGTTTTTTATGGGTGAGGGGTAGTTAAAATTTAGGTGATTGTAGTGTATTTATATTAAGAAATTAGGAAGTTTATATATAAGGTAAAAGTGTAAATGATCATTATTTTTATTCAGTTTTATAAGTTTTGTTTTGTTCTTTTGGTTTTTGGTGGTTTTTTTTGGGTTTTTTTGGTTTTTTTTTTTTTTTTGAGACAGGGTCTCTCTGCATAGCTCTGGTGTCCTGACCAGGCTGGCCTTGAACTCAGAGAGGTCTACCACCTTTGGCTTCCTAGTGCTGGGACTAGCAGCATGTATCAATGTGTAGCTGAGATCATACGATGTCCCATCTAAAACCTGGAAGTCGCACAGTGTCTGCTCTGCTACTTCTACCTGACTCATTACTGGATGCTTCTCCCTCTTCTGGGCTGTTTGAGCTTCTTGCTGTTGCTGTACACGCCAGACATGTTTGAATCTCAGGCCTTTATACAGGCAGCTTCCTCTTACAGAGTCTCCCAGAAATCTGCATGGTGAATTTCTTTACTTCCTTCATGTCTATCCTAAATTTAAAATTGTAGCTGCCCTGTAGCCAATATGCATAAAGGTAGATTTGGAATAATTCTCTAATTGTACTTATATTTGAGAATTATAAGTACCAAAATTAAATTCTAAAAAACCACATAAGTAAAAAATTATATACCACATTTTATAAATTATGATGCATATTTTTTCATATTAACACTCTAAAACTGAAAACCAATGTAATAAAACACTTTATAGTTTGATTGACAGGCAGCCCAAGAAGTTCCACACAGATGTCACTTAACAGAGCTCTTACTTCTCATTAAATTACTAAGGTTCTCTTTACAATATGCACATACCCTTCAGTTTAAAACAACTAATTGAAAAAAAGAAACCACCCACAAAAATTAGGAATTTGGGTTTAATGATTACTTGATAATTGCAATAAAAGTTATTTTATCTGATTATTATAAAAAATTAGTTCATTTTTAGATGCACATCATTTAGTAAATACTAAATAGACCTTTTTGAATCAAGGATATTGACATCCTCAAGTTATATAGTGTGTATTTTCATGTTCTGGTGTTTTCCTCTGTAATTTAAAAGTGAGCTTTCAATTTTTATAACAACACTCAGTAAAATGTTAGAGTAGAATTAACATGGTAACTGTCAGCTATTTTAGTTGAGTGTGGTGCATGCCTTTACTTTAATCCCAGCACTTAAGAGGCAGAAGGCAGACAGATCTCTTGAGCCTCTAGGCCAGCCTAGTCTACAGAGTGAGTTCCAGGACAGGCTCCAAACCTACAGAGAAACCCTGTCTCAAAGAAAAAAAAATTACATGAATGAAATATTATGTTACTGTAGTGTGTAAGAGTTCTCTGGAGAAACAGAACTAATAGAATACATAAAAGTATATAAAGAAATAGGCTCAGTTTATTATGGATACTAAAAAGGTCCAGAGTCTTCTGGGCTGGAAGTTGGAGACCCAGAAAAGCCTGTGAGGGTAGTTCCAACCCAAGTCCAAAGACTGACTGTAGGAGCCCGAAAGCCTCACACCACGGGACAGACAGTGTGAGCAAGCCCTGGTGCCAATATAGAGACGTGAGAACCAGTTATGCAGTCCTGATGTGAGTCTAAAGCTTGAGGAAACTCAGAAATTAACCACACATAGTAAAGAACCAAAGTTAGAGCCAGCAGAGCTAATTCTCTACAGCACTGGTGTGCATGTACCTCCAGATATCACCTGTTTAGTGGCTGGGTGTCAGCAGTGAAATGAGCTGTGTCCTCTACTTCTCTCTCTGGGGGTTCCAGGTATCTTACTTAGGATTTCTATGCTGTGAAACCAACTCTTACAATGAAAACATATAATTGGGGTGGCTCTCTTACAATTTCAGATGTTCAATCCTTCATCATCATGGTGGGGAGCATGGTGGCAAGCAGGCAGACATGGTGCTGGCTGCACCTTGCAGGCAGTAGGAAGTTGACTGAGACACTGGTTGGTATCCTGAGCATAGGAAGCCTCATAGCCCACCCCGACAGTGACTCACTCCAGCAAAGCCACACTAATGCTGCCACTCCCTCTGAGTTTATGGGAGCCAAACACATTCGAACTACCACATCAGGTATTTTCCATATAGGGGAGGGTTAAGATATAGGGTCTCACTGTGTGGCCCTGACTGGACTGGAACTTGCTTTGTAGACCTGGCTGGCCATAAACTCAGATAACCAACTGTCTCTGCCCCTTGAATGCTGGGATTAAAGGCATGTACCACCATGCCAGGCTTTTCCTCTTCTAAATCTCTCTAAAGTCTAACAAAGTGTTATTCCTACTCAATTTTTTTATTTGTACTTTGAAGCAGAGTCCCTGACTAGACTAGAACTCACTTGGTAGACCAGGCTAGTTTCTAACTCACAGAGACCCACCTGCCTTTGGCTCCTTAGTCCAAAAATTAAAGGTGTGAATCATCATACCTGGCAATATTGAATGTTTTTGTTGTTAGCACATGATTATGTATAATAATGGGTTTCACTGGGACATTTGCATACACATGTATCTTTTTTGTCATATTCCCTTCTGACGTCCTCTCTTGTTCTCTCACTTCCACTGATCCTCCTTCCTCTTTCCAACTTTTGCCTCTTCTACTTTCATGTCTTTATTTTTATTTCATTTTTTGTGTGTTTGAGTATCCTAATGAGTTACAGGACATAGGGTAAAGGTTCACTTATAGGAGCATGGGCACCTTACCAGTTGCTACAGTACTGAGGAGAAGTCTCTGCCTCCTGTTGAAGGAAGGCCTCTTGTTGGTTCCCGGATGCTCAGCCCGAAAATAATCACACAGAAACTATATTATTTAAATCACTGCTTGGCCCATTAGCTCTAGCTTCTTATCGGCTAACTCTTACATTTTAATTTAACCCATCTCCATTAATCTGTGCATCACCACGAGGTCATGATCTATCAGCTAAAGTTCTGGCATCTATCTCCGGTGGGGCTACATGGCTTCTCTCTCCTCCCTTCTTTCTCCCAGCATTCAGTTTAGTTTTACCCACCTGCCTAAGTTCTGCCCTGCTATAGGTCCAAAGCAGTTTCTTTATTCATTAATGGTAATCATAGCATACAGAGGGGACTCCCACATCAGCCTCCCCTTCAACCCTTGACTGTATATAAATCCTCAAGGAGAGTAGGACCTTATGAACTTAATTTAGTATTATTGAAGAGATCATGCCTGAAATATAAAAAGCCTTAGGGCATATTTTTTAGTTGACTATTGGTTGAGCATAGCTCTCATTGAAGATTATTATTTAATCTGAGCCAGCATGAACACAGGGCCTATAATTTCAGCCCTTGGGAGATAGAGGCAGAAGGACCAGGAATTCAAGACTAGTCTGAGCTACATAGTCAGTTCTAGACCAGCCTGTGCTAACGAGTGAAAACTTCTCTATAAAAAACAAGCAAACAACAGTTATGAGATACTGTCTTCAAAATATGAAGATTTGTTTTATGCATCTGAGTGTTTTGACTGCATGTATGTATGTGTACCATGTGTGTGCCTGGAGCGAATGAAAGTCAAAAGAGGGTGTTCTATAGCTGTAGTGATGGATGATTGTGAGCCACCATGTGCTACCCAGGACTTTTGTCTAGATTTTTATTTTCACTTACCCTCCACAATTGAGGAAAAACTAAACTGTATTCAGAAAAGATAGCTGTCTATATATAGCACTCATCAGGTTTTTTGCTGACGTATTATTGTCAGTTCAGCTTAGCAGACCTAGTTTTTGACACTACACAC